CCCAAGTATCTTCTCTGTTTCATAATTTGGCCTATGGTTTCAAACTAAAAGACTTTTATGACAGAGTTGAACCATCTGACCCCATCAACCCTCTAAAACCAAAACTCACCATGACCCTTCCATCTGTGATTCTTGATTACATAAAATCCATGTCAGATGTAGGATCTTTAGCAACCATATCCTGTTCTACAAAATCTGATAAAGCTGTTGCTTCAGCTCTGCCAATTGCATCTGATAACAATGCTGCATCTGATGAACCACCCAAATCTGCCTTCCAAACCTACTCAAATACACCTTTTGATGTAGTTACTCTTCACACCAAAGCAAAACCTCATTTGCTAAATGCCTTAATCAGATCAAAAGAAAAAGCTCCTGAGATACCCTTCATTCCATACTATCCTCCTCCTCTGATCTCCATCCAAAAATCAATTTTTCCACCAACTCCCCAACCTAAACCTGTAACTCTGGAAACTCTGTTACGACCAAAGCCCAGACTTAATGTTGATCATTTATTTCAAACTTTTTTGCAAGAAATACAGATGTATTTAGGTACTGTTCAGAAGAAATGCTCAGCAACAATGGATGCCAAAGAATCAGACATCATTTGGAATGGATTCATCAACAAATTCAACTCTGTGGCCTCAAATTTGAAGAACATCTGTTCTGATGATGCGAAGCTCAGATTTGCTGAGGCTGCAAGGACTCTATTCTGGACTGTCAAGAAATCTGAACCTCTGCTTCTTACAGATGCTACTCCTTCATCAACAGAATCTACTAACATTGCATCTGAGGAAAATTCGTTGGCCATGACTCTGGTAGACCCTCCTTCTAATTCAAATGCTCCAGACTCTATAGAACCAATGGAAATTGACTCTGTTCAGGCTCCAGAACCTAATCATACTTCTTCATCTGAGATAAAGAAAGAACATCCAGATTTTGAAGATAAGATTGCTGCTCTGGAAGCTGGCCAGTCAGAGATCAAGTCCTGGATGGCAAAGCAGGATAAGAAGTCTGAGGATATGACAGAATGGATGTCAAAGCAAGATGAAAAGAATGAAACTACGGCTAAGTGGATGTCCAAGCAAGAGCAATCATCCTCTGAGATTACAGATCTATTGAAGATGCTTTTGTCCAAACACTCTTAGAATTTTTTTTCATTCTAATGTTTTTGCATCTGTTGTTTGCATATGTACTTTATTGCTATATCTTCTGATGTTTGCCTATGTACTCTTGATCTGATCTTATGAATGAATCAAAGTTTTCTCCTCTGAATTATCCAATTTATTGTTTCCTTTTATTTGTCCTTTTAAAGTTTTTACTTTTTGCTTATGACAAAAAAGGGGGAGAAAATATAGATCTGAACTGTTTAATATAACTTCACCAGAATGAAACTTCAGACATATCTATTCTATCTAACATTTAATCTGACTATTTCAGAACATTTGATAAGTACATTCTATAAAAGAAACTCTGAGTTTCTTAGATCATTTGACTATTATCAAACTCTGAATCTTAAATCTGCAAGACATTCCGACCTTCAAATGTTAAAAGAACAAACAAGATCTAACTCTGAAGATTACTCAAAGACAAAAGGGAAGTTTCTATTCCTTATTTGTATTTAACTCAGGGGGAGATTCATCATCTCAAGGGGAGTTATAATTCTAATATGTTCAATTAAACAAAATTTCTGATGCTTTTTGTCATCATCAAAAAGGGGGAGATTGTTAGAACACAAATTGGTTCTTAATAATATCTCTTTGTTTTGATGATAACTATTAGGAAATTTTGTATTTAAGAATTATATACTCTAAAATTTGCTTGAGAGTTTTTACTGCAGATAGTAATGAAATTAACACTCCAGAAGCAAATCTGAATTGTATACAAGAAATTAACTTGACTCTGAAGCGCCAGATCCACTCATTAGAAGATTTTGATTGCTGCTAACAGAAGATCCTGAGCGTAGCCTCCAGAAGGATCTGAAGCAAGAAGCTCCAGAAGATTCTGAAGCAGAAGCTCCAGAAGAATCTGAAGCAAGCAGAAGCATCTGAAGCAAAGAAGAATATTGTATGAAGAGTTTTTCAAAGCATAGTTTCTACAGAAGATTCTGAAAGTACTAAAGCTGCCAGTACTGAAGTTCTGTGTCAAATATGCTCTGATGATTAACACACTGAAAGCACACATGCTGCAGAAGACTCTGATACAACAAAGTTCTGAACATCATTAGAAGACTCTGACCCAATCAGATTCTGATGAACTTGCTGAAAACTGAAGAAGAAATATTCAAAGGTTATATCCGTTGGAGTAATTCAAACGTCTCTTTCCTCATTTGTGCTAGACACAAGAACACAGACAAAAAGGATTTTTCTGTGCTTTCTTCTTCTAGGAAAGGTCACTTGATGTGAAGACAAAAAGGCTCAGACCTTTTTGGGACACTCTTCTCAACGTTCAGCTCTCCTTGGATCAGCTGCCTATAAAAGGAAGACTCCACCAAATTCTTCAGTTAGATATTTTGCTGAAAAGAAATTATAACATTCAAGCTCTCATACTTTCATATTCATTCTTAGAATTATTTGTACTTAATCTTAAGAGAAATATCACTGTTGTGATAAAAGCTTTTTAGAAGCATTCATACTCTTGTATTAGATTTACATTGATTGTAAAGGATTTCCTTAAGAGGATTCAGTTGGAATCAGTAGCTCTTGAGAAGACTAAGAACAGTTGTTCTTAGGTGTTACTATTGTAATCTGTTTGATTAAATAGTGGATTAAGTCCTTGTTGAGAAAGGCAAATCACTCTAGGAAGGGTGGACTGGAGTAGTTGAGTTCAACGAACCAGGATAAAAATAATTGTGTTTTAATTCTAAGTTTTAATCTTTCATACTTATTCAACCCCCCTTCTAAGTATTATCTCACCTTCAATCTCAACTGCGCCATGAACCTAGATGAATCCAAGTCAAACTTAGGGTTTCACACCAAAAGCCAAGTTAAATACTCAAGGAGAGATAATCAAGAACTATGGTTTAAAGACCAAAAGAGGAGTAAGAGGAAATCCACCCAAACTTTTAGGCACCAAGATTATGGTTTTATTGAGCACAAACATTCACAAATTTTTTATCCATGATGATTAAATGAAAAATGTTAATGTGAATGAATGGTTGTATGCAAAAGGCAAAAATGTATGCAGATGAGCTTCAAGCCAAGAATCATAAAAATCAATAGGGGGACAAATTTAGGGTTATGATAGAGGGTAATTACTCTAGTTATATATTTATTTAATTCTCTTTTACCACTTTTCTGAGAGATGTCTTGTCATCATCTAAAAAGGGGGAGAATATGAATTTATATGCTTGTAGGTATAAAGTTTATAAATCATAATGCAAAAGAACCTTTCTAAACATTTTTCCAAAAAATGTTGAATATGTGAAAGATTTCTAAAAGAAAAAAAAGGTTTGAGAGTATGAATATTAAGATGAAGATTGTGAGTTTTTTTTTTAGAGAGAGTTGGTAAAATGAAGAGATTTGTATCATTTTTCCTTATCTCATAAAAGAGAATGAGATAGCCTAATCTTGAGGTAATCAATATATAGGGAACACATGGTCTTGGATAGTGGTCAAAATGATAGTGGAATCTGGTCTGATGCATGTAGAACACATGTATTGAAAGAGATAAAAGTGAGAGATAACATTGACACATGAACGATGATGCACACATATTCATAGCATCATTGCCACCGTTACCATATTAAGAAAATTGTAAGGAAATATTCCCTCATCAAAGATTTTTCCATCAGTGGGTAGTAATTCTTAAAGCCACTCTAAATAAAAGTTATACATTAAAAAAATGTGTTTCGACAATTAATATATTTTATTAATTGTCTTTTGATATTTTTTGTTTTCTAAAAAAAATATATATATCTTTTACCAATAATACAAATGTAGGTTGATGCATGCAATATTGTATCTTCAAGAATAATTATGATAATTTTTAAAGGAGTAATTTTGTTAACTAAATGGGATAGCCATGCACTTTATTATTTGTATACCTTATATTTCTCTTTTTCTGCATGATTTTAATTATATTGAAAATTTTATAACTAAAGACAATATTTAAAAGTTTGCATATAATTAATTCTTTTGTTGAGATATTTATGCTAAATATTTTTTAAATAATAACTTTTACAAAATGAAGGAAAAAAGTTACTGAATAGAATAAAAATAATAGATGTACTTGCTGAGATATTTATGCCCTAAATATAAAATTTTAAGATTAAAGAAATTAAATGAAATAGGTAATAGGAGAAAAATATTTATGGATTTTTTTATGAATCAAAAGTAACTACTCAATAATATCAAGCTAGAAATCAATTTTATTGAAGAAATTAAATGAAATAGGTAATGGATAGGGTAAAAACAAATTTTATATAATTTATTGACATGTTAAGAAACTCTGATAACTGATTTGATTTATTGAATAATAGAAAAGCTAATATATAGCTGATTACATAAACTCACTATTCTAAAACTCAGTTAGAAAATAAAAATTAATAAAGACTAAATCAAAATGTATCCAAATGCTATGCTAACAACCCTATAAAATAGGATATTTATTCTAACAAACTAACCAAGTCATAATTAACCCTATCTTATTTATGTAAAATAAAATAAAACAAAATAGTTATGAAATTTTGGTATTTACACGGAAAGAATCAAAATAAAATATTTAATATTAAGATAGAAATCAATTAAATTCAAAATTTACAGAACAAGAATCCAAAACAAAACCAATAAAAAGTTATCTCTTTCGTGTTTCAAACAAAGTAACTGGCGATGTTCCTTCACGGCCACGCTGTTTTGAGTTGACTTCAAATCTGAATATTCCACACTATATGCCAATTCCTTTTATAGTTTCTACTAGGTTAATTCTTATATTTTTAGTATAAATATTAGTAAATGCAATAGATTTCGTTCAGATATTCATTAGGGTCTCTGAGTTTCAGAAAAATGGGTCTTTTTCATGGATTATTACTACTACTAGGTTTGGTTTTGAATTTGGCGTTTCTCTCTAATGGAGGTACTACTAGTGTTTTTGTTAGGAATGTTGAGAAGGCCGTTGATATGCCACTTGATAGCGATGTTTTTGCTGTTCCTTCTGGGTATAATGCTCCCCAACAGGTATACTACTTTTCTTGTTTTCTTTCTTTTCCTATAAGCTGTTTGATCAAATGATTTGGGAGAAAAGTTAAGTTATTATGATATGACGTTTTTGTGTGATGTTTTTTTTTGCTTTTCAGGTTCATATAACACAAGGTGATCTTGTGGGGAAAGCGGTTATTGTTTCGTGGGTGACTGAGGATGAACCGGGGTCGAGTGCTGTGCGTTACTGGCGTGAGAGTAGCAAGCAAAAGAAGCTTGCTAAAGGGAAATTTGTTACTTATAGCTTCTTCAATTATACATCTGGTTTTATTCATCATGCTACTATAAGGAATTTGGAGGTACTATTCAATTCTATTGCTTCCATTTCATGATTTGGTAGAAAATTGTTTCATCAATTGTTGATATTTGTTGTTGTTTTTGGACAGTATGATACAAAATATTATTATGAGGTTGGACTTGAAAACACAACAAGGAAGTTTTGGTTTACAACTCCTCCAGAAATTGGTCCTGATGTTCCATACACATTTGGTCTCATAGGTAAAACATGGAACCATTGAATATTATTCTGAAGTTTCGAAAATTTGCGATGTCTTGTGTTCTTATAGGCCAATATATTTGTTGCAGGGGATCTTGGTCAGAGCTTTGATTCAAACAAGACACTTTCTCATTATGAATTGAACACGAGAAAAGGGCAAACAGTGTTGTTTGTTGGAGATCTTTCTTATGCAGATAACTACCCGAATCATGACAATGTTAGGTGGGATACTTGGGGAAGGTTTGCAGAGAGGAGTGTTGCTTATCAACCCTGGATATGGACCGTTGGAAACCATGAAATTGATTTTGCTCCGGAAATTGTAAGCTTCTAATAGAAATTGATTTCATTTGGTCTATGAATTACATACACCGAATAGAGCACCAACACCGGTACTGTTTGAGAAAAAAGATGTAATCACATGTTTCGGTTTGGTATTTCTGTCTGACATCAGCCATATCTTCCATAGATTTTAACCATTTGTGTAGAGCATTTTCCAAATCCAAATTTTGATAATGATTAACATGGACTGATGATTGTTTGCAGGGAGAAACAAAACCATTCAAGCCTTTTTCTCACCGATACCGTACTCCTTATAAAGCATCACAAAGTACTTCACCCTTTTGGTATTCTATCAAAAGAGCTTCAGCACACATCATTGTCTTGGCCTCATATTCAGCATACGGTATTGCTAGATATCTCTTCTGCCCCATGGATAATTAGATATACACTTAGCCGTCTTTGGTCACTGACTCGCTGTTTCAAAGTTGTTTATCTGACATTATAATGATCTTTATTTTTCTCAGGAAAATATACACCGCAATACAAATGGCTTGAACAGGAGCTACCAAAAGTTAACAGAACAGAAACTCCTTGGTTGATTGTTCTCATGCATTCACCTTGGTATAATAGCTACAACTATCATTATATGGAAGGTGAAACAATGAGAGTAATGTACGAGCCATGGTTTGTTAAGTACAAAGTTGATGTTGTGTATGCTGGCCATGTCCATGCCTATGAACGTTCTGTAAGTGCTAATATACTTAGAAGCTGCTCAAAGTAGTTTCTGTTCTAATCACATTTCAGATTTTTTTTCCATGTTCTGGTTGTTTCAAAAGTAGATTTATCATTTTGTTTGTGTGTCAGGAACGTGTCTCGAATGTTGCGTATAATATTGTAAATGGTATTTGCACTCCTATAAAAGATGAATCAGCTCCTGTATACATAACCATTGGAGATGGAGGGAACCTTGAAGGCTTAGCAACCAAGTAAGCTCCATGCATAAAACTTTTGAGTCTTATGTAACACTTTCTCTATTCATATTTTTGTCGTTTTAAGGTTCGAAAACTAAACTTTTTTTATGGAGCTAAGTCTGATTTAAACATGATTTGAGCTGCAGCATGACAGAACCACAACCAGCTTACTCAGCATTCAGAGAAGCCAGTTTTGGACATGCCATATTTGATATAAAGAACAGAACACATGCTCACTATAGCTGGCACAGGAATCAAGATGGTGAAAATGTTGAGGGTGATTCTCTTTGGTTTTTCAATAGATTTTGGAACCCGGTTGATGATTCCTCAGCTCATGTTTCCCATTAACACGTTGGTTTACTTTTCAGAAGAATATTCAATGTGAATAAAGTAATGATTATGTAACAATTGTTTGTGTATCAAAACTAGTACACCATCAATTGTGATTATCATTACCTTTTTTTTCTTTTACTTTGTATCATCACTGTTTGATAAATGCAAAGCAGGAAACATCGTCTGTTATGCTTTAGTACTTTTTTATGTATAATTCTTATAGGTACTAATATGATGAACTTAAATTTAAAGAAGGGAAGAAAGTGTATTATTGATTGAAAATAGATATTACAAAAGGAATGAGATGGTGAAACTGTGACTGAAAAAAATCAATATACAGTTGACAATATTATCTTCATCATAAATAATGTTAACATATGGCAGATTAAAGATTTGGAGGACCCTTGGAAATTAGTCACACTTTAATAAGAGTAAAACAAATAAAGACTCTATTTAATCACGATTTAATTTGACAAAGATATTATGAGATTCTATTTTAAAATCTTGTGCGTAGTCTGTTTTCCATGCTCTTAAAGACATCTCAAAATAATTATGTCCTATAATAAAAAAAAGAAATATAAAAGAAATTGAATGAAGAATCATATTATTAATACTTGATTATTTAATAGGTGATTATATCAATACATAGGCTCAAGTGTAACAACCTTTAGAGTAAAATCATGTGACAAATTAAAGAGAATTTATAACAAACTTATTGTAGTTGTAAATCTTAAAGACCAGTAGTTTTATTAAAATTTTGTAGTTGAATCAAATTATCTATTAATAAATGTAATAAGGTTTTTTAATTATGTTTTTTTTAAATAATAAAAAATAAATTAATCGTGAGATCTTATTAAACATAATGACTCTTTAGATGATGACTTTTCAAATGGTCGTTCATCTATTCAGATTGTTTGTTCAAAGGAATTTATTGGTGTTGATCTTTCATCTTTGAGTGTTCCTCTTTATGAAGATAACAATGAGAAAGATGAAGATCTTTCGAGAATGTTCAATCTTTCTTCTTCCTTGTATAGTTGGATCAACTCCTTGAGTTTTTTTGATGATCTCCTTTCTAGATTTTTCCTGAAATCTAACAAAAGCACTACTATCTTTTAAATTGAGGATTGAATTAAATCTATGATTTCAAATATTAATTTTTAGATAGTTGTTAGATACAAAATTTCTAATACAACCTCAAAGGGTTCAATTGGTTGAGTACCATCTATGAGAATGACTCTCCTGTTCATTTGGAATTCATACTTTCTGAATTTGTGTGTTCATTCTCCCTTGCTCAATCCTCAGAGAAACTCTATGAATCATCTCTAGAGTGTCTCACTCTTTTTTGAAGGAATCACAATTAAAAATATAAAATATTTCTTTAGAGCTCAAAGCAGTTATCAAAAGATGTTTGACTTTAAAAATGAGTTACACTTTTCTCTTATCTTCTTCGGTCCAATGAAAATATACTTCATCGTTAACAGAGAAAGCATGAATAAATTGACCGCTGATTAAAGAATCTCATATTTCAAAATCGATTACTTTTATAAAACTTTCAAATATATATCGCCACAATTCAAACCTATCACCATCAAACGGTAAAAGTGTATCTATGAAAAGACTTTTGTTAAAAGCATATGGGGTTGAATTATGTCGGTTTGAAAAAGTTAGACTCTAAAGTCATTTGTTGAACAAAAGTTAGACTCTAAAGCCATTTGTTGAACAAGTGACTCCAAACACATAAGGGGGGTTGAAATATGTGGGTTTGAAAAATGGTGTCTAAATAAAAATCTTAGATAAAAACAGAGTTTAAAACGAGTTTGTAAAATAAACGACGAATAAGCATCAAATCGAGTGAAAGTAAATAAATAACTAAAAGGTAAAAAGGTAAAGGAAGAGAAAGATTCTCTGGAGATTTAAAGAGATTCGGCCTAACCACTTGGCCTACTCCCTCTCCAGAAATTTTTTTCTCGATATTTTTCACTAGGACATGAGCTTTTTACAGGTTTTGTCCACAAGCTTCTTTACAAAAGGACTGGAGTTTTATATTGGTTGTCCTCTAAAGCAAATAAGGTTTTTAACTAGCAATGCCTCCCAACCAACAAGAGATTTTATCACTAGGACAATCTCGAACCAAGTGAGAGATTTTAACATGAGGCTAAACTCACAAGGAAAATAGGATTTTTAAATATAGAGACCTCCCAACCAAACACGGGATTTTAGCAAGCTGATCATAGAAATGAAACATAGATTTTACAAGATTCACCTCAACAACCAAACAAAAGCTTTTCGCTTAGTTTAACTCATAAGCAAAAGAACTTCTCACAATAGATATATTATAACAATGCCCCCACATTAGAATCAAACACCTCACAGATGAAATATTCACTCTGAAAATCACTAAGGTAAAAGTGGAGAGAGAGAGAGAGAGAGAGAGAGAGAGAGAGAGAGAGAGATATGAAAGTGGAAGAATGGTATTCAAAATAGGTTCTCTAGTGTGAATGAAACAATAAACGAGCCCTCAATTTATAGGAAAAAGCGTGACTAAAATATGAAAAGAATCCATGTGTCTTTTAATATCTATAATCAATTATGTGATACAAAAACAAAAGGTTTTTAAATGGTGGTGTCACAAATAGATTAGGAGACCTAATAATCAATTATCAGGGTTACAAAAGTGATAATCAACTAACCCTAATGGGATAATCGATTACGCCATGTAAAAATCTATCTAATTGATTAGAATGAGTCTCTAATCAATTAGTTAGGCACACACACAAAATTTGGTTTTTTTATCTGATCATTTGAAAGTGTGTGCGATTTGCCTTATTAAATTCAAGAGTTGATCTTATACCTTTTCAGATACAAATCAATCGACATGGACAATGTGAGTTTTCACACAATCTCTTTCACAACTCAGACAATTCAGGACCCTTGCTTGATTCAATGATTCATCTAGGACTTGACATCTTCTATCTAATGATGTTTGATAACTCTTCTTGATAGGAACCGTCATCAGAGAGATTTATTAATTAAATATTCCATTGACTCTATTGAACACCTCTTGACATTAAGTGTTGTCCTCCAAAGTTATACTTAACATCTTGATCTCCAAGCCCCATAATTTGACCATCACATCAAATGATGACTTCACCTCACATTCATGACATCATCAAAACCTGATTGCCTTGTGTTTACTTAGATATTTGGTAAACAAAACAAGTTTCAATTAATACTTAAGGGATTAAAATCAAAAAAATATCGGACATATTTGTGTGAATCATAACCTTCGAATAACATATAGTTATGGAAATCGAAATGCAATGTTTGAGAGGTAATAAGTTAAACTTGACTGAAATCAAAATGTAAAGGATTTGAAAGTAAAATGACTGAAAGTAACTTAAACGCCATAAATGACTTCAATGTAATAGACTTGAAATTTATAAATGTGGAACACATACATACACTTCTTCACTCGTTTCTCAATCATACAAATACTTTGAGTTTGTAGAATTTTAAATACAATTGCGGACCCATATAACATAAGCATGTTAAAATAAGATTTGGTTCTGCAAGATATCTTTAAGTTTTGATAATAACAAAGTGGTATTTGTGTGAGAATAATTTTGGTACTCTAACGTTTGTTTTTCTGAAGAATTAACAAAAAGGTTCTCACTCTAATAGAGAAAGCTCTGACTCTGATAGAGATCATATTTAACATTTACTCTGATCTGACCAAAGTCGCTTATGCGCTATAAGAAGCAAGTATGCTTTGTGTCGCGGTGAGAATTGGATACCAAATTATTAATTAATTTGAATCGTAATTCATTGGTTCACCACCGGTCTTTTATTTGTCCAAAGGAAGGGAAAAAGATCGAATTACCCACAATGCAATGCAAATGCAAAAGCTAGAGAGTTTAGGTTCGGGGTTGGTAAAACTTAGGGAAGGTGCTAGCATCCTAAGTTATTGTAGTACTCTACAGGAACCTCTTGTTTTATTGTGTTTATTGCTATGGGTTATCTACTTAAGGATGAAAGACCTAATTGTTTATTTCTAAGTATACTCGCCAAAAAATCGCATCTTGTGCCTACATATCCTGACGGGAATGAAATCAGAGTATTTGTAGTTCCCCTAAAGGGTTTGAGGAACTCTTTGACTGTTGGTCAAAGTTCCTAAAGGATAAAAGGTTGTTGATTGATTGGGTCTAGGAGAAAAGATGAGTTGTCATCTCGAGGGAGAATACTTGACTTAGCCACCACAACTTTGTAGGAAAATAGTCTTTGCATCGTCTTAAGAGAAGGGCTCAAGCACTCGGAATTATCGACGAGTATGTCACTATCTCCCTCAAGATGGAAAAGTCCCTACATATTGATTGAATTGTTATGGGGCAGGAGATTTATATCTCGACTGTCAAGATGACTAACATCTTATTCTCTAATGTGTTTGAATAATTTGATATGAGTTGAATATTGTTTTTTCTATGTTATAAAAGATAAAAGAAAAAGGTCCTCCTTATGGGGTAGGATCTAACTTAGAGATCAACTTGAATGGGATCAAGGATCAAAAGGGGAGTATGTTGCAAATGAGATGCATACGCACAATTGTTTAAGTCATGCGCAGATTCTTCCTTTGGACGTTTATGCAATACGATAAAATAAAATGACGATGAAGATAAATTGCGGATAAAGCAAAAGCATACACAAACGCATGAAAGCGCTAAGGTGTGCAAGTGAGTGAAGGTGAATAGAACCTGTGCTAGGAGACGGAAGCGGGAACGCTGTTAGAACACAGATTGGTTCTTAATAATATCTCTTTGTTTTGATGATAACTGTTAGGAAATTTTATATTTAAGAATTATATACTCTAAAATTTGCTTGTGACTTTTACTGCAGATTGTAATGAAATTAACTCTCTAGAAGCAAATTTGAATTATATACAAGAAGTTGTCTAGACTCTGAAGCACCAGATGCACTCATTAGAAGATTCTGATTGCTGTTTACAAAAGATCTTGAGCGTA